GGAGTAATAGGCTTCGCTAATCGCTCAGCCAAAAAGACAGATCGAGTTCGAAGAAGAGCATTCTAGCTCGAAAATTGGATTTTTAAAAATTCAAAGACCACAGGTCGCCAACATGACGATTTTTAAAAATATTGTTTCACTGTTTTCTACGGGGTAACTCATCAAAGTAGGACCCGTTGGACGAAAATTTCGTCCGTTTTGCTCTATCTTGAACCGTTTCGACGCTATGGGGCATTTCTTGGCGAAAAAAACGTGAAAAAGACAAAATGGTCCATTAAATCGTAAAAAAGGCTTCATTTCAGAGAATTGTAAAGGGAGTTATACTTAAACCACACTATATGGGTCGAACCACACCCTCTTTTAGGCTGAGGGGTCCCTAGATTATTTATCTAAAACGTAGATTTTTACATAACAATCTGACAAAATTCGAACTGTTAATAAAAACCGTAACCAAACAGTAAAACATTAATCTCCCTTATTTTAGAGTAATAAGACCTCGACAAATAGTTCGACAATGTCAAATTTTGGGCTCGAAAGGCCCTTTTCCCCTATACCCTCTCCGTAATTCGTCTTGGGTGTCAGCGCCGCAGGCCTAACTATAGGTGCGCCAGGCGCGTCGCAGCGCAACAGTGTTTCGTGAGATATCGCGAAGCCTGTTACGCGACACGTGGTCTGGCGTTCATATAGCTAGTTACTATATTGACCTAGGTTAACATAGCTAAGACATAAATATAATTAAATATGTGCCATTTCTTTTAAAGTGATGTATCGTTTTCCTTACAGTGTTATAACATGTCAACTTTCCTAAAAAAAATCAGTGGTCGACCCAGAAAGAAAGGGTGCCTATGCAATTGGTTCCACAACTCTCCCAAGATATGGTGATTTCTCTGTGTAAGGTTCAATGGGACTGAAGTTCAGCTTTGACCTGTGCCCTGGAGAAGTTCTGAATAGTTGTGTGGTCATAAAATTCATAACTGTTTGCATTATTTTGGGGAATATCCTCTCTAAGTCTTCAAGTATTTTAACGTGTAAAAGTTTTATTGGCTAAGCGATAGCGAAGCCTATTACTCCAGTGATGATCAAAAAGTTTCGCGTCTGTCTGTCTGTCTGTAAGCACGATAACTCGAGAACGGTTTGAGCCAGAAGGCTCAAATTTCTATTGTAACTTTGTATCATAAAAAGCAAGAACTGTATTGATTTTGAGCCCTCTATCTTAAAAATTGGCTTGTCAACAAAATCAAAAACCAAAAACCCTAAATATTACTTTTGAAAAATATTTTTTTTACATCTTTCTAACACGAAACTCGTCAAAGTAGAACCCTCCTGGGCTAAAATTTTGTCCGTTTGGCTCTATCTCTAACCGTTTAGTCGCCAGAGGGCGATTTCCACACGAAAATGACCCCAAATCGCCCCAAATCATTTTAATATTGCTTCTCAGATATTTGATGGTCTCTGATCGGAAAACTCGTCAAAATAAAATCCTGGGGGTTAAATTTTTGTTCTTTGGAGCCGAAGGCCTATCGTTACGTTATTTTACGCTTTTAGAGTGCAATTGTCGCTTTAGAGTCAAAGTAAATGGGTCATCCCTGGTTAAAAAGGTATGTGCTAGCTTATCTAAAGAAACGAAAAAGATCTCGGCAGAACGGTGTTACCCGTTTACTTGGCTTTTGATTGTAAATGCGAGTCTTTCTAAAAATTAGCTTTGTATTTTCTGTTTAATTTGCTGCAAGGTAAACGATTTCTGTTGGTCAGCCAAGCCGTTTTTGCAATTTGGATCTCTGCTGATACCCTGTTTGCTTTGTTATCCTTTGTTCTTACAAGCCTTTTTCTATGTGAACTGAAAGTTGCTTTTAAATTCGAAACAGAGGAAACGGGTAAGAATGGTAGAATGGCTTTGATAGCCACTAATCGGTATTGTTTGGCTTGCTCTTTACCTTGTTTTATCGTCTCCTAATACTTCAATAAAGACGTTTACATGATGCTGACCTGTTTCTGACATTCCTTCTTCTTATCCTATACCACACACGACTCCGTTGTAGTTATGCAGATCTTCATGATTTCACCTAAAGATTGCTAAAGGTGTAAGTTCAAATAATAGAGAATTAAAGCCGATTTCGCGCTTGTTCCATATTTATTTCGAAACGCTGAAACACGCCAGCCTTAGTCGACGCGTCCTAACAACAATGTTCTATCTGCAGCGTGCGGATTACACAATATTCTATCTGCAAAACGCGGGTTTCGGGACACCACCAAAGGAATGCTTATAACTCCGTAACCGCTCGTTCTACTTCACTTTTTGCAGTCCGTAATTAAACATTGGACCTTTACGATTCTTTCCGTGTGCTCACAGTGGCGTTAATGTCTTCCAGTTACTTGCAAACCAGACAAAGGTGAAAGGCTGCGCCTAACCCTGTTTTGCTGATAGAACATTGTGTAATCCGCACTCTGCAGATAGAACATTGTTCATTCAGCACTCTGCAGATGGAACTTTGTGTAATCCGCACGCTGCAGATAAATCATTGTTGTTAAGACGCGTCGTAGTTCTGTAACAAACATTTTCTCAATGGGGTGTCCTGCTAACAACTTAATTGAAATTCAATCAAAAATCCACTGTGAAAGAAAAGCAATGTTACAAATAAACTTATCCAGAGTGGGACTTGGGGCGCCAACCGTTAGGCGATGTATCACTCATGGCTGGCAATTTTAAAACTAAAAGAAGCAAGCCTTAGTAGATTGGCACAGCTCCGATGCTGTTTGAAATTTTACTGCGCCCGCCGAGAATACGCGCGGATGAAAAATCTGCACGACAGCACCAAAAGCTTGGAGCTGGCCGTCTAACCTTGCCTCATTTTATATCCGCTGCCATCTCAGATTCGGCATTACTCTTGGTGTTACAATAGACCCTATTCGGTCTCGGCTAAAAGAGAAGAAGACAGGAATCCCGACCGGAACCAGTTACGAAAATTAACGCTTTTTTAACGTTTAAATGGCTTTGGAAGGTAGAAGCACAATCCACGATGTTTGTGATAATTTTTTATGTCGGGTTTGCAAGTTTTCTCGCGAAGAAATGGCAGGATAAAGGTACTGGTTCCGGTCGGGATTCCTGTTTTCTTCTCCCAGAGCCGAGACTGAATAGGGTCTATTAGTTACTGTCAACCCGTCCTGGAAATATATTGGCCCTTGCTCTACTTGGCACCCCAAAACGCAAACAGGTTAAATCTGAATTATTTTGGGAATATTCGGGGCGGCTGGGGTCGCCATCTTGGCCCTCCGCTGCGGACACGGTCCGCAAGGCCCGCAAGGCAGGGCCCCGTGCGAGACTAGTCGGCCCCATCGTTATTCGCAGTCGACCCTCGAAACTTTTTAGACTGATAGTACCTATGTTAAATGACAACCAAGAAGTCTTCTCAGTTCAAAATATTTTGCAAGACTTTGAAAACTCCGTCTCTCATGTATCTTCAGAGTATATAAGGTTCCGTTACTTTAAGAAGTGTGGTGACTATATTCCTCCTGTTCAATATGAGATTGGTGAGGTTGATGTATTAGTGAAAGCTCCAAATGGTCCTGTTCTTAGATCCAAGAAGATATATGGCCAGTCCATTCAACGTGACGTTGTTTTAAGAAAGTACCTAGAGTTACCTGAAGCATTTAATGCCATTATGTCTTATGTTAATTTCCTCAAAGACAAGTCTGTAATTGAAAATTATGTTCAGTGTAAACTGTGGAAGGAAAAAACTGCTAAATTCAAGGATGATGATATTGTCTTGCCAATACATATTTTCTATGATAATGTTCAGTGTAATAATCCACTTGGATCTCGTTCTGAGAAATTGGCCGGACTTTCTGCATATATACCTTGTCTTCCACCAGAATGTCAGTGAAGTATTGATGATATCTTTCTTGCATTAGTATTTCCCTCCTCGTGTAGGCCTGATGCAGATCACCGTGCCTTTGGGCCATAAATTTCTATATTAACTAAATTAGAAAAGGAAGGTATTGTACTTGATTTATGTGGTGTCCCTAAAAGAATTTATTTCGTCACTGGTCTGCTACTCGGTGACAATCAAGGTCTGAAATCTGTTGGTGGTTTCATGGAGGGCCCCAGAGCTAACTATTATTGTCCTTCTTTGCAAGGTTTGCAAGTCTGATTTGGAAAAGAAATGCTCTGAAAACAAAGCTCTCATCAGAACAGAACAGTCATATGATGAAGACCTTTTTCAAAATGATCCAAGCAAAACTGGTGTAAAGAAAGATTCTGTTTTTAACAAATTGCCATCTTTTCACATAAGTTCCAACTACTGTGTAGATAATTTTCACGATTATTCGCAGGGAATTTGCCACTATGTAATGTTACTTGTGCTCAGACATTGCATTCCTAAGTACTTTACTGTAGAACTTCTTAACCATTTTATTGAACTTTTTTATTATGGTGATTGTGATAGTAGCAAAATTCCATCAATTTCTCTTGATTTTGCTTCAAGAGATAAACTGAAAATGTCTGGTCCGGAAACTTTAATGTTTGTACGAATGTTTGGTCTTTTAGTCAGTGACAGAGTCCCTCATGATGATCCGTTTTGGATTTTTTTAAATCTAAAACTAAGTCAACTTCTAGACAAGTGCCTCTCTAAATCAATATCCCCTCGTATGTCAGTGTCACTCAGAATCCTTGTTGAAGAATTCAATGAAATATATGTCTGTGTCCCAAATGATACTCTAAAGCCTAAATTTCATTTTCAAGTTCATTATTCAACAATTATTGATGAGAGTGGGCCTGTTGCTCTCACTAGTACTAAGCGCTTTGAAAGTAAACACCGCTCCCTTCTCATGCGTGCTCATGATACACAATCACGTATGCAGATATGTGTAACTGTTGCTATCCATCATCAACTTCAAATGTGTTTCCGTTGTAAGTCCAGATCTAGAATTATTCCTAAACCTGAGTTTGGTCCTCTTCATGAAGTTTCATGGGCCAATTTTAGTAATCCTGAGTGTCTTAAGAGTGTATTGGCTACACCCATGTCATCATGTATGTCTGCTAATTGGGTAAAACTAAAAGGCACAAAGTACAAACTTCGAATGGTTCTCACGCTTCAAATTGATAATTCAGAAAATCCTGTATTTGGCCATATCGAGGCAATAATCCTTGAAAGTAATAATTCATTTGTTCTAGTATTTTCTCATCTTATGAACTTAGGGTTTGATTCCCATGTTCATGGATATGAAGTGGAATCGTCTGATTCTTGGTCAAAAGTTTATGTAATGAATTTATTTGACCCTCTTCCACATAATATTAATTTATCCGCCTCCGAAAGTAAAAAGTTTGTTGTTCTACATTGTGAGTTGTCAGCTCATAATCTCAATTTTAAACTGATTTCTGTATCTGTGATTTAAAAAACGTTGTTCTAAATTGGGAATTGCTTTGTGATCTCATTATTTGTCTATGCTATGCTATGTATCGGTCTTGAGTAGATTTGCGTATTTTGCATAATGACAAATACAGCATAAGTTTTCTCTACATTGGTATGTTTATTTAGTAACAAAAAAATACACCCTCCTCTCTAAAACCTTACCTTAATACACACACAGGGAAGTGTGCAGCAACAAAATGTGTAGCTGCAACAGCTGACTGAATCATCCAATTCTGCTACAGGCCTAATTACATGATAGCAAAAATAATTGTTTGACATATACAAATTTCTTTACTGTTCCTGGCAAACTAATTATCTAATTAGAACTTGTCAAGTTGTCTGCATCCTGCAACTTGCTACAGCTATGGTAAGGGAAAGGCGTTCGTTGTTACCGCTGATAGCGAATTTATTCGCTGTCACAGCGAATGAATTTTTTGCCGTGCGATCCAAAGGAACAGGTATACTATTTGTTTTTACTGTCAAATAACTAGCTATATGTACCCCAGCCCACGACTCGCGTAGCAGGCTTCGCGGTATCTCACGAAACACTGTTGCGCTGCGACGCGCCTGGCGCACATATAGCTAGGCCTGTGGCGCTGACACCCGAGACGAGTTAATGAGAGGCTATACTTTATATAGCGTTTCCTGCACCAAAATTTGACATACTGACAGCATTTGTCGGGGACATGTTACTCCAAAATTACGGACATGAAACTTTTGCTGTTCGATAAAAATTTCTATTAAAAGTTCGAATTTTGACAGATTGTTATGTAAAAATCAACGTTTTAGTTATACTAGATAATCTAGGGACCCTTAAGCCCAAAAGAGGGTGTGGTTCGACTCCTAATGTGTGGTTTAAGTATTACTCCTTTACCAATTCTGTGACACCAAGCCTTTTTAACGATTTAATAGACCATTTTGTCTTTTTCACGTTTTATTCGCCAAGAAATGTCCCATGGCACCAAAACGGTACAAGAATGGGCAAAACGGACAAAATTTTCGCTGAAAAGTTTCTTCTTTCGTAAATTAATTTTCCTATGAAACCCCATACAAAAAAAAAAGAAAACAGAATTATTGTGCGACTTGTGGTTTTTGATTTTTTTAAAGTCAATTTTTTGAGCTAAAATGCTCATCTTCGAACTTAATCTGTCTTTTTATGATACAAAACGGCCCTGAAATTCCCAGATCGTTCTCTCAATTCTTTCTAGAGTTATCGCGCGGACAGGCAACCAAACAGATAAACAAACAGAATGAAACTTATCCGGTCAGTGGAGTAATAGGCTTCGCTAATCGCTCAGCCAATTACATTATTTAAGATTTAAATGTGGTTTTCTTTCTGTTTGGTTTCAATACAGAATGTGTCAAATTTCTGTTCTAAAATTTCCAGGAACAACCTCAAGGCCCTTCCAAATCTAATCTCACTTCCAAATGGGTTGCTCCTACATCTGCTCCTAAAGAAGTATCGAAAGTAACTGTCAGGGCATCACCAATAAAGTTCCAGAGGAACCTCATCGAGGGGGAAACGACTGTTAAACTTTGTGTCAGCTGGATTACGGATTACCCGGATTACCTCCGGAGTGTTCTCCGGATTACGTTGCTTTTTCTCTAGGATTACCCCGGATTACCCCAAAAATTTTCCCGGATTACCACGGATTTTTTAGAATTTCCTCGGATAACCCCTGCCGGATTACCTTTCGGCTGTCAGCCGGATTACCTAAGTCGTTTCCCCCTCGAACCTCATTCATTGTCGAACAGCTCAACTCGAGGTAATGCAATTTCTTATTTGGCTTCTGGCCGAGGGGTGGGCGACTTGAATTTTTCGTGTACACAGGAGTACGGAGTACAAGGAGTACAGTCGGAGAACACTGCGTTTTGCCGGTCGGAGCGCGCAGAGTACACCTGGAGTACACCCGGAGTACAGTCGGAGTACGCGGAGAACTTGCGACAAAAACAGCTGGAGTACACGGAGTACAATCGGAGAACACCTGGAGTACATTTTGGCCTGTACACAGGAGCCGCCCAGTCGTCCACCCCTCGCTTCTGGCGCTGTCCACGCCAACTCGACAAGTAAAGAGTGACCCCTTTGGAAATTTCGATTTTTCTATCCTAATCAACGCTCCTTCAGGTCCTACGCGCGTGACGTCGAAGGAATATCTTAGGTATTTTGGGGCGGATTAAAGCTCTAGCCCCGACCCCCCTCCAAATTAGTATTTCTACCCGTGCGCCGGACTGAGCGCGTGCAGCGCAATCAAATTTTGCCAGTGGGTAGCACCCGAGGGGTGGATAACCCCTAAATTAGGTGAACAAATTTCAAAAATTATTTTGACTTAGCTTGAATTGGCTTGAATTGAATTTGAATGGGACTGAATTGGTTGAATTGGTTTTGAATTGGTTTGAATTGTTGCGATTTTATGTTACTGAATTAGCGTGAATTGGCTTGAATTGACTTAAATTGAATGTACATTGTCTTGAATTAGTTGAATTAGTTTTAAATTCATTTGAATTAAATTGAATTGGTCTGAATTGGCAGAATTAGTGGTGTACACTTGGCAGGAGAGTTATCCACCCCTCGGTAGCACCACACAAGACCCTTCGAGGACGGAAGTTTGCAAACACGAACATTTTCCACTTTCAGAATAAATTAGAAATTTCGAAACTGGGTCACTTGTTGTCCAGTTGTTGTGGACAGCGCCGATGACTCTTTATTATCTGCACATTAATCGCTTAATTGAAAAAATCTCACAATGTGCCACAGTTTTGTGCTACTAGGGTATGGACATAAAAGGCAACAACACAGTAATTCAGGATGGTACTTTTCCCACATTTCTGTATACTGTCGGCATTTTTTTTGGTAAAACAAAAAGTGTTGACTGATTCTGTAAATGACCATTGCAAAGAGCGCGATAAAATAACTACAAGCATTTTTTGAAAAAGACGATCTCATATTGGCGCGATACTTTAAGTTGTCACAAACCTGCGCAATACACTACAAAATGCTTGCAAGGGCTAGACTCGATCTTCCCTAGCCTGCAAACTATTTCTTTACAATACAAACTTAAACTAGTTTGCCAGGGATTCTAACACAAAGAAATGCTTTGCAATGTTGCAGAAAGGATAGTTTGGAAGCATTTCACACACAGTGTATGTACCACACCGTTTTGAAACACATCCGCAACCATCGTATAATTTCGCATTAAGTATTGGAGTTGCTAGAAAGTACAAAACGTTATCAATCTCCGAGAAGCGATACATCGCAGGTAGCACACCACACGAACCCATTACCGCACGGAAATGGGTTCGTTTCTTTTCGTAAGTACACTAGCACAGAAAAGTAATACACCTTAAAATAAAGTGTAGGTAGGCCTATTACACAAATCCAAAGATGCGTCTTTGTCTCATAGTGACCGAGAACGTTGATAATTTTGCAAAAATTGTCTTCTTCCGTCCTTGGTACTTTTGCATTAAAAGGAGTGACAAACATCTTGATTCTTCGGGCTGCACCATACGTTGCCTGCTGCTCTTCCTTTAAGCCTTGCTGACGTTGCTGATGACGACGGGTGGCGGTGCTGTGCGCACCTTGGCGTAGACGTCCGTGTACCGGCTGCGCCAGTGCAGCAACACGTACCAGCCAGCCAGTAATCCGCCAACTAGGTTGGCCGCTCCCGAGCCCGTGAGCAGCACGCTCAGCAGTGACTCGACCTCGGGGCAGCTGAGGTCGGGGTATACGTGCCGCGAGGTCCCAGCCCAGATGGCCCACGAGCGATCCGGGTCCTGCAAACAAATAACAAGGGCCCACTTTGAATTTGCTTCAAATAAGAAACAAGCAGGCCCGCCCTTCCGCCAAACGGAGTTGCGAGCTCCGCTTCGCTCCGCAGTCAACAATGACTGAAGGAGGAGAGGTGAGGAGGGGCAGGCGGTGGGCAAGTCGAGCAGCCCCAGCGGCCGGGAGCCGAACCAGCGATGCATGGTGGTATCCAATGTTCAAATATTCGCCCAAAAAGTTTTTTTTATGCTCTTCTAAGGGGTAACTCGTCAAAGTAGAACCCTTTGGGCGAAAATTTCGTCCGTTTGGCTCTATTTATAATTGTTTATTTTTAACTGTTTAGGCGCTGGATGGTCTTTTTCGACGAAAATTAGCTAAAAATTGCTGTAGTGAACTATGAGTTGTAGAAGAAGGCCTAGGGTAAACCTACCTAACATGGATCATTTTTCAGAAAACCGTGGTTTTTGGGTCGGTAAAAGTGTGATGAGCATAATTTTTTGGTGTTGCTGTGTAGTTTGAACCCTTTAGGAAAGTATCCCGATGGAATTGAGTTTCTAGCTCCAATACTTTAGGAGCTACAGGGAATCCCCATGACCGCGACCGCGGAGGGGGTACCCTAACATGGATCACCGAGCTAGAGTATCCCCCTTTACATATGTGATAAACAACAGTATTAGGGGAAGGCAACTTTTTTTGTTTTATCCCAAAACAACCCCTTCCTCTTTTTAGGGGTTGTGATCCATGTTTGGACGCTGGCCCAAACATGGATCAAAACTTCGGCATGTTTGGATACGTTTGTAAGGCTCGTCTGTCGACGAAATTATTAGTTTCTCATACCACGTACAACGTGCTCCCCGGACTATTCTGCTCACGGAGTTATAAGTTCCTCCCGCTCATTTGCATCTTCGGGGCGGGTATAGGGCCTGGAAAAGTTGCATTTCATTTAACTAGAAATTTGGCTTTTTCTACATATCCTGACTAACCACGTGATATTGACACTCTGATTCCTTTGAGAAATGTTCCTCGAAACCGGTTCTGTAAACTTAAAACATACTTTTTTGAAATTATTGTATTTTCTTGCTCAGTCACGGGATCGTAAGGGCGCTAAGAGTGGAAAGGGACCTAATATGTGCCCCAGGTTGCCTACCCGGACCCCTCATAAGGCGCAATGGAAGGTGTAAACGCTTGTAAAACTTTTCCTATTAAAAATTTGTGATGCTTGTTTGCATCAATCCCTTTATTTTGGTCATATTTTGCCGTGTGCAAAGTGGCATCACGCATGCACGATTTCTAATGACTGATTTCGAGGCGCAAAACTAAAGAAGTTATTTGAGGAGGGTTCAAATTCTATGTTTTTACCCCTAACCGCATTTTTAAATTACTCACGGTAAAGGATCAAAATCTTCAGAGTCTTTAAGGGGCATACCTTAAAACGTCTTCTCATCGAATACCAAGTGATTCCACAGGTTAGTTTTCTTAAAAACAGGAAATAAGTAGAACCATGTATGTCGCCTTGTCTTTTGGCGCGCTATGACGAGGTCTGGTGTGCAGACTGTTTTTCGGCGCGCACCAGCGGGCAGGAGAGCGATCAGACAAAAAATTGCCACTTACAAATTCTGTTGCATATATAGTCCTTTACCTGGGGAAATTTCAAATTTTCAAATCGGTCGACCCAATCAGAACTTAGGACCCGCCAAACAGAAATGATCCATGTTTGGTACCTGATCCATGTTAGGTAGGTTTACCCTATAAACCGCAAAATAGGAAAGAACCCCCACCACCCCCACCACCCAAAAAACGTTTTCTAAGCAGAAGGGTAGGTTGTAGTCGCGGTGCTACACCGTTACATCCCTATCTCGTGTCTATGGGGCAAATTTTAAAGACGACAGGTTTAAGTAGGGCGAAGGCCCGCAACATCATTTGATTGTGTTCTTCAGCAAGTCGCGTGACAGGAATGGTCGGACCGCAGGCCCGAGCATCGCCGCCGGCAGGCCAAGCAGGCCCGGCCCCTGCCGAACGGAGTTGCCGGCGGCAGAGCCCTGTAACGAGCGAGCGCCGATGCTCGTTTCCAAAACGTGGTGTGAGGTGGGGTAGCAGAGCCCTGCAACGAGCGAGCCGGGAGGCTCATGCGTCGCCGCGCCACCTCTCGGGGTAGGCACCGAGCGGCTCAGTTCGTTTCCTAGTGAGCCGAGCGCGGCTCAGTTCACCAGCCGCCTACTGAGCCGGCGAAGCTCGTTTGGGGCTATAGAGACAGACGTATCTAGCAGCGGCGAGTTCGAGAGAGACGCGAGAGCTCAGCTGACTCCCGGCGGTAGACCGTCGAGACTCCCAGCTCGCGAGACTTTGCAGAACCTCTACGTACCCCACCTCACACCACGTTTTGGAAACGAGCATCGGCGCTCGCTCGTTACAGGGCTCTGCCGCAGGCCAAGGTAGATGTATGCCAGGCGTGTCGCAGCGTAACAGTGTTTCGTGAGATATCGCGATGCCTGTTAGGCGAGACGTGGTCTGGCGTACACCAACATGTGTAGGTATGAGACTCAGAAGAAAATATTGAACAGATACTTAAAAGCGATCCGTTGAACTGCCATATACACTTTATGTAACTAGTAAAATTGAGCAGTTTTTCTGTGCGCCTGAAATGTAGTTTTTACACCTTGCTTGTCCCTAGTGCAAAGCACTCACATCGGTCCGGCGCTGGCGAAACCACGCACAGTTCTTAGGTGCCGGTAAAACCATGCAACTCGATTTTTGAAGCGATTTTTGAGACCTATATAGTTGGAAAAGGGACATTTCCCTCTCCCTCTTCAGGAACATTTAGTCAACTCATTTTTTTGGAAAAAAATCGTTGCGTGGTTTTGCCAGCGCCTAAGAACTTTGCGTGGTTTTGCCACCGTCCAAGAGCTTTGCGTGGTTTCGCCAGCGCCGGAGCGCTGTGCGTGCTTTGCAGTAGGGACAAGCGACCTGTGAGCTTATTTTGTTATTTTGGACGGCTTTACCTTGTACGCGGGCTCGCAAGTGCAGGTGGCGTTGGCGACTTGCTTTGCCGGCTGGCAGGCGGAGCCCCACAGCGACACGACGTGGAGCATCGCGAAGGCGGACGCGCACAGAGCGGCCAGTGCAGACAGGCCCGCAACAGCGACACTTACAACCTGTCGCAGCACACGCAGTACACAACAAACGATCAGTACAAAACTGGGGAAGCACACAAGTGGTGATTGTCGCACGCTTGTAGTTGTTGGCGTTTGAATTATTTTTTTTATTAGCAGCGTACATATGTAAACATTCAATGTCGTTCATTTGTCGTATCACAATGACGAGACGCTAAACACGCAACATCGATTGTGTGGTTATTGTACAACCTTAGTCGTAAAGGAACGACATTGACTGTTAATAAACAAGCTAAGCTGCCAATTAAATAAATTGCTTTTAGTTTATTTATACTATACAGGAAGGTCCACAAACCATTTCCACTATACTGTACCGCATGCAGGCGGGCTTGCCTACCGTAGCTTGCCGTAGCGGCTTACGGCCCCAGGTGAGTATCCAACATAGCCGCACGCCTAGATGCGGTACAATGTAGTATAACCAGAATAAAGGAAGCGATCTGTGGACCACCCTGTATGAATATAACAAGTAGAATGCTGTGCATTGAAGGCTGTGTGTGTTTCAAAATTTACATTAAATTAAATAAGAAGTTCAACATCATCTACAAATAAATGTTATGAAGCAAAAATAAATTCTTTTAATCTTTTTATGATTGATAAAAGGGTGAA